TGTTAGCTCACTGGGTGAGCGTGGTGCTAACAGCACCAAGCTAAGGGTTAAGATCCCCTTACCGGTCATCTTTAAAAAAGAAAAGAAAACAAGGAGAGAAGGAATCTGGAGAAAAAGGAAAAGCAGCGACAGCCAGTTTCATTCGCAAAAACGGAGTGTAGTGGGTAGATGACNAAGGAGAGAAGGAATCTGGAGAAAAAGGAAAAGCAGCGACAGCCAGTTTCATTCGCAAAAACGGAGTGTAGTGGGTAGATGACCTGAAGGACAATTAGGGTAAGAGCCTGAAGGAAGGGACTTCGTAGCGGACGGCTCTGTTCTGCTTCCTTCCAGGGTGACTCTGACCCTGCACAGGTCAAGGAGAGTGGAGTCCCCATGTATCCAAGTGGCTCTGCCGTTCTACTCAACCTCCCTTTGTGGCCTTCAGGACCTTGGGACTGTGTTGCCCCAATATTGTTAGAAACGTTTCCAGAGCTGGGCTGGCCAGTTAGCTCAGCTGGTTAGAGAGCAGCCTTACAACACCAAAGTCATGGCTTTGGATCCTCGTACTGGCCAGCCCCCCTCCCCTACCCAAAGTTTCCAGAACTACCTTAACCCAAGGGCAGGGAGCTGCAAGAGATTCCCTTGGTCCAATTTCTAGCCCCTTCCCCCCTACCCATTTGTCAGATAAGGAAACTGACTCTCACAGTTGGGTCATTTACCTACCTGAGACTAAAAAGCTACTAAAGGACAGAACACAGAGACCCAGGTTTGACTTTTCATCATCAGCTTCAGCTTTGCTCTGTCCCTTTGGTCTTTAGCTGGGTACTCCCTAACACCAGGCCCATGTCGTTAAACCAGGCTGCCTGGATTGGAATCCTGATCCTGTCACTTCCTAGCCATGGGACCTTGGGCAACTAACTCCCCTGTGCCTCAGTTTCCTTGTCTGTGAAATGGGGATGATAACAGCCTGTCTCATGGTGGTTGTGAGCTGCAGAGTAAAAGCTATGTAGGAGCTATTTTTATTAGTGTCTCAAGGAGCCTGATAATAGCTGACATCTCCTGAGTGTTATGATGTGGTATTATGTTCAGTGCTTTACATGCATTGTTCAGTTTAATCCTTTCAACAACCCTATGAGGGAGAAACTATTATCCTAACTTTACAAAGAAACTGAGGCACAGAGAATTTGCCCAAGTTCCCATAATTAGGAAGAGACAGAGCCAGGATTTCAATCCAGGAGCTGATTCCAGGATCATCACCCCTCAGGCTCTACTGCCTGGAAGGAAGGAAGTTCAGTTGAATGGGTATATGCAAGAAGTAGAGGAAAGAAGTTTGGAATCATTGTGTTCTAATGCTAGGACCAGCCTTCTCTAAGGCAGTCTGGGTTTTCCCTTAGAGTGAAATCACGTGGGGTGGGAGCCAGAGAAGTGGAAGCTGGGCTCAGGCTGTGACAGGCTCTGTGCCCTTGGGCAGGTTCTTGCTCTTGCAGAGGCTTCCTTTTCCCCATGTGAGAATCTGAGAATCCAGCTTGGCTTCTCAGGCCTCTTTCTGCTAGGACTTTTTGTTTGGACTTTTCAACTTATTTTGGTTGGTTAAGTCCCTTCTCTTCAGGAGATACAGGAATAAGCTGAGGCCTGATCAGACTTTCTGTAGGTAGTAGCTCAGGACTAGGACTTCTGGGACAGGATAAACCTAGGGTAGGTGTTCTATGTTGGGGTGTTGTATAAGCAAGGGCCAAGAGGCAGGTGTGAGTCTGGGCTTTCAGGCCTAGCTGGAGCTGAGGGTGGGTTTTGAGGGGTCTGAAGGTGTTGCCCAAATAGGGTGAGGAGGTATGTGCGAAGTTGGCGGTCTTCCAGGGTCAGATGTATGTGTCAGATGTGTGTTGGGGATGCCCCACATGCCAGCTGCAGAGGGCTTCCCATACCAGGCCAGCCTGTGCTCCAAGAGTTGCCATGTGCCAGTTGTGTGTGCGAGGCATGTGGTCACGTGTGCTGGGGGCTGCACGTGAGTGTGTCAGTGTCTCCTCCCCATCACGAGCATCGGGGGTGGTGGTGAGTCACAGGCGCAGCTTTCAGCACCAACTGTCATGTTTCTTCTCCCCAATTTCACCCTCCACCCAGCCGTGCACCACCCACCCCCACTCCAGGATCTGTGTCACTTCTCTCTTCCATCCCCCTACTCAACTCCCTCTGAGAGGCTGCAGAGCTTTCCCTGGGAGGGAGTCTCCCACCTCTGGTTCTGCCCTCCAGCTCCCTGCCCTTGTCTTATCCCCCTTTCCCACTGCTTCTCTGCTCTGGTGCCTAGAGAATGAGGGCCCTTTCTCCCTACCCACTCATCTCCATGGATCCCAAGGATTTCTCTATGCATTACGGAGAAGTCCCATACTCACCACACAGCCCCTCATTTCTGTGGGAGCTATTTCTATTTGGGGGGGCTTCTCTCTCATTTCCATGGGCCAGCTGCTCCTGCCTCAGTGGGCCTCTTGTGTCTATGAGCCACATCCTTGTCTCTGTGTGTCCCCTGATGTATGCAGGCCTTCCCCCTGTTTCCGTGGCGCTCTCCCTGCCTCTGTGGTATGCTTCCTTGTTCCCATGGACCACTCCCATATTAGAGTGCTTTCTGTTTCCATGGGCCTCTCCCTTGTGTCTCTGGCCTCTCCCCATCTTCACGGGGGCTGTCTGTGTCCATGAGCTTCCCCTGGTCTCTGAGGTCCTTTTGCTTTTCTGTGGGCTGCTCTCTTGTCCCTATGAGCCTTTCTTTCTATCCTTGAGCTTTTCCCTGTTCTTGTCCTTATGCGGTTTGTGGGCCTTGGCCCACCTCTCCGGGCCTTGATGGCTGTCTTTCTATTCTTTGCATTTTTCATGTCCGTAGCCCTCTCCCCCCATCTCCATGGCCTCCCCAGGTCTTCCCACCTCTCCTCTCTGTGGGCGCCTGGGCAGGGCGGTGGCATGGGGTGGTGGAGGGGGTGGCCGGGGGGTGGGCCCTCCATCCAG